ATATGCCCCGTCCGTTACTGATGGAGGACTTGATCGATGGTATTGTCTCGGTTGTTCGTTGCCAGCTAGAGGGAGTGGTGTGCAGACCGTCGAGTAAGTTGTTTAGTCGTTCGTACTCTCTACTACTGGCCTTCTGTTTTTTGGCAGTTTCGTTTTCTTTATATTGGCACGATGGACCAGTTACATATAATTGAATCGTTTGTGTGAATAATCTCATTAGTTTACCACAGCACTTTGAACAACGTGAATTGCACAACTTATGTGGCACGAACATCCGTCAATAACTCGTCGATAGCTGTGTGAGAACCGATGCATAAACAAACAAATTCGGGAATTCATTTGCGTTGTTGTCATAGTTCGATTGTTTGCTCTGTTTCATCCTCAGATCAATTTCTCTCACTGGAATCAACTCACACTCCTGTTTCTTTTAATCAAGAAGTTAATTTTGCCTTTGGTTTGCTATGCTGTGTATTGCTGTTGTTATTATCAGTTATTATTTACCTTCAAATTCGACACCATTAGGATACGAACAGCTAAAATGAAGTAAGGAGCGGAACACTAGGCTTTCCTTATCTGGTATGGGTGCTTTTTGAGTTTTTATAATAATACCATGGGTTATTTAAATTTTTATCCTACCATATGACAATGGGTCTCTGTTTTGAGACACGGACGTCATAGTTTTTAATTGGTATCAATTGGGGTGGTGGTGGTCAAGTGGTTAGGTCACCAAATTGTGACCCGGTGGTCCTGTGTTCAAATCGTTCTACCGCCACTCGCCTTCCCTGTTTCTGTATTTTTCCTGGAAGCATTTGTTTGGCCGTATCCCCTTCCTGAAAGTTGATAGAACATTTGTATATTCAACAGATAAAAGAGGAAGTAAAAATACATTTATTCATTTTTTATTTATTCAAAAATTTTCCTTCTTTAATCAGGTCGACAGTCTTGTTAACTTCACGCTTTTGCGCTGTGCCACGGACTAGTCATGGCATCACTTACCCAAGTTTTCTTAGAGAACTGGTTGGCTTCCTGGATATCTCTGCACCGGGTTCTATGGACTTAGTGTAAACTCAGGCATTTTACGTCAGTATTCATCATCTCGGAGTACATTTTACGATAACCACAAGCCGACGAATCCAGCCTTGGCGCGGTTTCTTTGTTTTGACAGATCTGTGGTTGCAGCTGTATAATATGGTCGCGCCACTGTAGGCGACAGCCTTGCAACTGTACTGTCAATTTTAGCTACTTAGGCATCTTATTCGGACTGAAATGCGGGTGGCTCTGAACAACTTTTCGCACTCGGTTTAAGCACCAGTGGTGGAGCAGCTTCGGCCACCTTACATCGTTTGCTCTCCCAAGTATAGGTCAGGACAAGACGGATAGCATTTTTGAAGATATGTAGTTTTCTCGGCATTATCATCATCATCACTCTTACCTGATGGTTGTCTTCTTCATACAAACTCAAGTTGTCAACTCTAGATCAACACTGATCGAACGGCTGTGTTGGTGGCGCAGCGGTTCAGTCGTTGTCACCGGTTTGCTCTGGACTCAATGGTCCGAAGTCCGAGCCCCGCCACCGCCACCCAACTTTAGTGGTAGGCAGCCTTGCTCTCGTCCGGTTTAATACCACACCTGACCTAATGGGGCCTTTTATAGTCCACCACTCTAAGTCCCGGAGCCTATGTTGCTACTTTCCATCACTGAACAGTAATCTTCGTGATCACTTGGATTTTTTATACTTATCCTGTTTTCTCTGCATTTATCTCTGTAGTCTTTTTTCTATTGCTTCATGCTAAGAGGCGGAAATAACAGCCGTCAAGTATTTAAGTACATTAACTGCAAATGTTTTCTCGTTACTTTATTATGATATCGTTTTGTTTGTTCATCTATCAGGTAACGGGCGTGCGAACAATCATCAACTCGGGTTCACGGAGAAACATTTATGGAACTTCGCATGTGAATGTGTCGGATTCCGCACCAGTCAGCTAATGGTAGTTTTAAGCAGTCTAGTTCGATTCCAGCCGAACCGATTCACGGACAATCTTGTCATCAGGTTAACCGAACTGGGACTGACAGTACCTCTTCATTGTCTAACCAGTGGCCAAAGTATGGAACGCGATCCTAGGCGTCTAAGTGTTTCAGTCATGCGCAAACTGTTGCATTCGTCCTCTACAAATTTATCCGCTCGCTCTGATCACAAGAACAACCCCATGCCCTCTTTTCCCGTGGGTCCCTCCCGATTGTGGCTGTTTGTTTGGCCGGACCGATTGCAACGCGCTAGTTTGGCTTTACTTTCTGGTCTTTACGGTCAGTACGAAGCGCATCGGAAGCTAATAGTGGACGAAATTTTTCGCACTCTATTATCCCAATGTATATTGACAAGCAATCCGAACCCGGGTCAGGAAGAAACCCCATCGATTGTAAATTCCAGTGCAGATAAGCGTGCCGCACGCACCTTTCGGTAAGAGCTACCACTTCATTCTTTTCGCTTTTATTTTATGCTATCATTCGTCACTGAACATGGTTGTGCTCCATGTATCCACGGTTCTGGTTAGAGGTTATTGACTACACTGCTGATATCTCAGTGTTATTTCATTCTAATTAGGTGGTAGTTTCACTCGTCTCATTACTCTTGGTCTCTATGATCATTACTTTTTGGTTAACACCAGTACAGGTACCAAGACGTTATGCTCGTGATTACCAGGGATTCTGTGTGATTGTGCAAGGGTGTTGTGACGTTCGGGTGAACGATACGATCGGACTAGTGTGAACCGTGACCCAAACAGAACGAGCGGTAGGATTGACCACGAACAGGAACCGTAACGATCCAGTGACTGAGTGAACA